CAATTGTACAGTACTGCTCGATGTGATTGAACTATGGAATGTTATGATAACTGTAAGAGCTCCCAATAAAATAATTAAAAATATATATACTGAAAATTTTGTATGACTTTTGCAACTTGACATTGATCAACCGGACAATTATGTGCACTGATGAATGTAAAATTTGGGTACAGTATCAGTAAATGGAAAATGTGGCCTTAGTGACAGAAATGACACACAAGTTAACTGATAAAATTTTGAGACTAATGATGATTTCACAACAAATTCCTTATTAAACAACGGAAACTATACATATAGATCTTTCTGAATGGAACAAATGAAAATCAAATCAAATCAACCACATCTATAGAAAGAAATGATGAGGAAGATCGTTAGTCAAAACAAGGCCAGAAGTTAACTGGAACAGATCGTCAATTGCTCAAATGCAAGTTGAAGCTAACCAAAGTACTTAGATCACAGAGCTTAGAGACTATCTAAAGTATAAACTTGAGAATAAAAGATTGATGACTGAACACTAATGACTGAGACCAGTTGAGTTGTGGGATGACACAAAACATATGTATGGAAACCAAAAGGCTACTCAAAAGACAGAAAAGAGAGCAATATTGAATATACTATGCACTGTTTCAGTAACAGCAAAAACATCTGTGGAATAGCCTGCAAAAATGTTCTTTAGAAGCAGCAAAGGTCATCTTTTGGGTTTTGGACCTGTTAAGAAGGGGTGGGCCTCAGAAGGCACACTGCATAGTAAGGAATATAGAGTAGACATGTGCTTAATGAAAAAAACAAGAATGCAGGATGTTAAAAAATGCCCTTTCCACTTCCAAAATTATTGGAGGAATAGGCAACTTAAAAAAAAATCTTACAGGTAGAAAAATATTGAAGGTAGAGTGCTAAATTATACTCTAAGCTGATAATTTTCTTGCTAGGAAGATGATTTTAGAGACCTGAAAATAACAGAAGTCATAAATGTGTTTCACCAAAAGGAGTAAAATATGGAGAAACATGTCTGTTAAAGAATTCCAACAGAGAAGGCAATTTGACCATCTCTATAAGAAAACAAAGAACTTATATCACCTGAATAAAGAAAACTTTAAAGGAACAGGTGAACAAATGGGAAAATGGACACCAAAACCTTTCGGGAAACTCCAAGGCGGGAAGCTAAGGAAGCACAAAGGAGACCCATTTATGGTGGGAGTTCCAGATCCAAGATGGTGTTGCAAACTACAAAGGGAAATCCATTCTTACTCAGTAGGGGAGGAATGTACTGTATTCAGAGGACATTCAGAGGACATTTAAAACTTCAGAGTTCTCTGTTTGGAGAGAGTCTTGCAAGATGGATTTTCATAGTAAAGTGGAAACACATAAAGGAGGGAAATTTTCAGAATGTTAAAGAAAGAAAATTATGGAAGCAAACATACAATAGTGTAAAACAAGTAAATGGAAATCTAATCTCATAAGAGCTACAGGTGTACTTCACTCAACATCTAGGACAAGTGAGCTCTCACATTCAAAGAAGCACACACTTTTATGCATTTTCCGACACCTATCATAGACGTGAAGTCTTCTACCAGTTGAATCAACTCCCCGAGTCAATTCCCTTAAGGTATTTTGACCATGCATCAGGGAAAATTACACTATAGCTTGTTTCTAATACTGAACACAGTTCTCCTTGTTCCAATTGAAAGAAAGCTTCTGGGCTGACAACTAGATAACTTGTTTATGATAAATTACAGAATCTTAGACACCAACATTAACCTAAAGTTTGTAAAGCCTGCAGAATGTTGTATTTCTAGGGAAATAATGTTCAAAGGAACAAAGTAAATAGTGTTCTCTCAAGGATAGAAGACCTAACCCACTAACCCAGGACGAGAGAATGCAATGAGAATCTACCTCTTTGAGAACACCACAGACACTGCAAAGATTTTAACACATAAGAAAGGAAAAGCCAAAGACTTGAGAATTCTCCTCACCAGTGGAAACCAGGTTGCGATAGTTCTCCAACATCACATCCTGATATAAGGTCTTCTGAGCAGGGTTCAGGAGCTGCCATTCCTCCCAGGTGAACTTTATAGCCACATCATTGAATGCCAGTGATTCCTATAGTAAGACGAGTGTGTTTAATGACATATTTTTCATTTGAAGATTTAAAAATATATATCTTACAGTAAAGAAAGCAAAACAGTAATAAAACTATTGTGGTAATGCATTCCATAATGTGGCATCAACTGAGGACTTGGTAGAAAATATTTGACCTTATTTCTACATTCGTAACCATCGGCCCAGAAAACTAGCCCTATTTTCAGAAAGATCTCCATTGTTCTGAGAAATAAATGTTTAATACACGTTCTCCAGGCCAAATAATGTGCCCCCCACAATAACTCTCCATTAAGGAGCAGTCTTAAAAGAGCTACCATAGTAGATGAATCATTTCTGTGCCTGGCTACTTCACTATGCCTGAAGGTTATCTGTAGGTCAGAGCAATTGGGTTCTATAGCCAAATGTTGCAAATGCCTGGGGAGGGCCTAGGGCCGGTTCTACGTCAACTAACACTAGGTCAAGATGGTAACTCACCATCTTGCTTGCTTATTATTTTACCTGTTTATGCTATTACCCCTTGACTATGTATATGCTAACTGCATGACATGCACGCCTTATGGAAAGATCTGTAAGGTCCATTATATATATTCACTGGAAAATATATTCACTCTCTCAGTCCTGACATGGGAAGAGAGCCCCTGTGTCCTACTGTCTGCTCTGTCTTTTAATATTTGCCACAATTGCAATGTACTCCTGATGATCACTTTTTGAGTGTTGGGGACCCCAGTGCCCCAAAATAATGCACCCACTCATAAAATTAAAATTTTGAGTTCTAGTGAAATTATCTGAATGAGCTAGAAATAGCTCAGCTTTACACTCACACAAAGTAAACACCTGTTTATTATTAAATGGAATTAGGACTTCTACCAGTATCACCATTATAAAAGGCTCAGTACCTTGAGTGGCAATAAGTATCAAGAACAGTTCAGAAGGGGGAGGTCAAACATACCTCACCTCTCCAACATTTTTTGTCAATTCTTACACAAGTCATTCTTCCCACACCACTCTTTGTCTCACTTCTGGGTTTGATAACCTGTTGCTATGGTCACACAAAACTCCATAGATCAACGTGGTCTATTAATGACCAAGGTACAACTTGGGATCAGGAACAAGAAGCTATAATTCAGAACCAAGATCAGAATGTTCGTAGGCAATATCTCCCTTCCTGAGTTCAGAACAACATTGTAACTTTAAAAGGCCACCTTAGGACAAGCTCCTCTTGACAACCTTAGGACAAATTCTTCTCAGCCACCTTCGGACCATATTGCCTTAACTTTAATTGCAAGGTCCTCTTGAACTTGCCATCTTTCACCACATGCTCTCCAAGGGGCACCTCCTAGGTCTGTTGGGTGTACCACTGGAGCCCTCCTATCTTGCCTAGACAGGGAAGGTGCTAGGTTGGGCCAAGAAGCCATCATATCAAGAGGGAGAGAGAGAACTGCCTGCAGGCATGGTTTGAGAAGAGACTGTGAGACACTGGCCTGTTACCTGACCTGTTGATTTGGTTTTATTAGCCCCTGCAGCCACATACTTCAGAATGATCCCATGGATTAGGGATTTGCCAGCTTCCAGAAATTCAAGATCCATTTCCTTGAATGACAACTGTGAGCCGGCTGTATGACTTGACTTGAGAACTTCCTCCACTCTATGAGCCAACAGCTTGCTGTCTTACCTTCCCATTTGGATTACTCAGCCCCTGCAACCTATTATCTGACCAGATTCAAAAACTTCACTTTGTGAGGCAGTGGACTGTTGTCTGACCTGATGAAGTGGTTCATGAGCCTTTGCAAACACATTAATGAGGAGAACCCTGCAGACTGATACCTGATCTGTATATAGAGTTGGGACTCACCAGCTTCCACATCTTGAACAGGGATTTATTGACTTGATGGCTATTTAGTTTTGTGAGATGCTGCAGAGCATATCATGGAACATCTTGAACCTCAATCACCTAGGGCCTGGTCTACTGCTGCTCCAATAAAATGAACTCTACTATTCATGGGTCAATAGCTAACCAATGAAGATAATGACCAAGGTAGATGGGACACAGTGACACAGCCAATGGTGACAGGTCCAGAAAGGACTTTTTAGCCAAGATAATGGGACAGGCAGGCAAGATTAAGAAGAGGATATCCCAAAGGAGTTGAGGGGAACCTATATAGATGGAACTAAAAAATGAGTCTACCTTTGGAGGGTAAAATGTCTGATAGGGGACAGGGAAAACAGGCCTGCCCTGAAGAAGAGCAAATGTGCCTACATGGTTCTTTAATATGAATGCCAATGTGTAGCCTATTGATTCTGATACCAAATTACACACTGTTACCGAATAAAGCTCTGCCTCGTACGAATCAGAGTTGATGTTGATGGTTCATCCTCTCTCCTGCATCTACAGTTAGAGGAGGTGAGATGCTGTCAACCATTTTTAAAACACTATTGCTACAAGGCCCATTCTAGATGCATTAATGAGAATGCTGCTATTTGGGAGAGTATATAACATTTCACCTTCAGAAAGAAGCATTAAAGAAACTTAATCAGACAAAAATCCCATGGAATACTTAACTCTCCTAAAAAGTGATTTTATTTCTCCTTAAAAACTATGCATAGCACATCATTTGAATGAATGAATGGCCATAGAATAATAAATTATGAGTTGGAAGATAATGTCATCCAAAGAATCCTCAGTGATATATTATGTTCAATGTTAATCCTATGATCAGTATATTCCTAATCTTCTCCAGCCAAATGTTGAAGTCAGAGTCAAAGCTTATCTCTAACTTCTACTATTTCAAATCTCCACTTTTCCAATGAACTGAATCAGTATTATACAGGTTCCTACAACTCCAGTAGGAAATACAGAAAAGGATAAAACACATCAGAATCACCTGAGCCTTGATCATTTTCTTTGGTCCTTATAACACTGCCAGCAACTGGGATGCTCTATGTTTGTCTTATCTGGATCAGCTCTAATGATGCTCACAAATTTCAATCTCTCATGAGGACATCACAAAAATAACAACACCAGGCAGTTCCTTCCTCCTTCGTCTAAGCTGCTGGTGATGCACCATCTGCAGGCTGATGGGAGAATACAATGTGAGTAACACATAACACGTAGGTCCAGATGCTGTTACTGTTCTTTTCCCTCTTCTTAACACACAAAGTCCCCAATACTGTTAACGGTGCCTTATTGAGTGATGGGAAACATGCTTATACCATGAGCAATAAAATCTAAAACTCATATTTTTCAGACATGTGAATGAAAGATGACTTTATAACAAATCGAGATTGGGCAATCAAATATAAATGTCAAAAAGAAGAAATAACACATTTGGATCCCTACCTCACAGCATACAAAACTAAAAATTCCTTACTGTGTGACTCTCAAAGTGAATGACAAATCAATGAACCTTTAAAATGATTATGTTAATTAAAGCATCTGGAAACATTTTAAACAGGCTATATAAAGGGCTATTATAAACTAAAGATTATTTTATAGAAGAACTATAAATTGTACAACCACTTTAGAAACACTTTAAAACTCACCATCAAGTAGAGTTAGACGTATAAGCTGCAGATAGGACACAGGGGAACTGCTGTACAAAGCTTCCGAGACTCTAAATACACGACAGGATGCTAATGGGCGTGTACCTCTGATCTTGAGGATAGAAGTCCAACTCTTAACACATGTCAAAACCAAGACTCCATAATCAACACTTATATGACATCTATTAGATTCAAATATACATATATGTATATATATACATATATATAAATAAATGATATATATATATAAATGAAGAAGTATACATGCCCCAATAGTGAGTGCACTTTTGAATCCCAATATAGATAACGTTTTTAATGTAGCATTATTTGTAGTACCTAAAGCAGTTAGATCAGCAGTTCTCAACCTAGGGGTTGAGACCCCTTTGGGGGTCGAACGACCCTTTCACAGGGGTCGCCTGATTCCTAACAGTAGCAAAATTACTGTTATGAAGTAGCAACAAAAGTAGTTTTATGGTTGGAGGGTCACAACATGAGGAACTGTAGTAAAGGGTCACAGCATTAGGAAGGTTGCGAATCACTGAGACAGCTGGCCTATACAAGTATACAGTCTTTCTAACTATGTCCCCTGAACTTCTTCCAAATTATTTATGTGGGTTTGTCGCCTGCCAATATGAATGAGGCAAAGGGGCCCATCATAATGGTTACTGTTGGGCTGTGAACTGCAAGGTCAGCAGTTGGAAACCACCAATTTCTCTTCGAAAGCAGGATGGGGCTTCCTTCTCCCAAGAGTGACATGGCTTTCTACTCCGCTACAGAGTTCCAGTCTTGGAAACCCACGGGGGCTGTTTTACTCTGTCATATGGGCTCACTATGAGTCAGTGTTAACTTGATGACAGTGAGTTTGGCTTTTTTTGGTTTAAGAGGACTGGGCAGCTTGCCCAACAAGACATTGGTACCTTTGTGCCTTTGTGGTTACGTAAATAAACTGTCTGACCTAACCTAAGGTTTAGTCACATTACAAATCATGTTAGGACTAATTCAGCATTTCAGAGACAGAAACTTGGATCTCACTACCATCAAAAAAGAAGAGCCAGGAGTAGGGGCCTTTGGACCCTAGATTCTTGCATTGAAACTCTTCAATCCAGAAGACAGGGAGCTGTGACACAAGAGAGAAAGCGATGGGAAGGAGCAGCAACAGACACATGGTGGCAGCAGAACCAAGAGACTGGGAGAGAGCAGTGGGATTAGAGGCCACAGAACAAGAGAGCTCAGTCTTTGGGCAGGAGGTTAGTAGATGAAGTAGTATACAACTGAGTACTTATCTGGGGAACTAGATTTGCCAACCCACATAGGGCTGAGTGTGTTTGGTGTGAGGCTAAGGGGAAGAGTGAGCATGTATACGCAGAACTAAAAGAGCTATGTAACATTTGACCATTTAGGACAAAAGCCAGGAGTTAGCAGGGCCTAACCTTACCTGCAGGTATGGCTGTCAAGATGCTGTCCCAAAGAATTGTACCTTGAGTCACTGATGATCCTAAATTTTGTTTTCGGGTAGAAAAGTGACCCCTTGGTGAACTATAATTTAAGGAGAACATTTACTACACTTTAAGAGACAACAAAAGACACACACACATCATATGGATAACGGAGGTCATTAGTAGTTCAAATGCAACTGAAGATTCACAGTCGTGACTCTGCATAAATAGGGCACAGAACAAAAGGCCATGTCACAGATCATGATTGGTGGATCAATACATCACAGATACAGGTGTGACTGTAGCAGCAGGAATGGGGCCATAATTGGGACGTGCACATTATTACATAGAACGACTTACAAGAATCATCCAGGGCCTTCAAACTGAGGCAGTCAAGGCCAGACTCATGACAATGGCCCCTGTGCTGTCCGCATTAAGTGAGCTCCATCAAGGATACATGTAAGCAGGCCCATGGAGAGGGCTTGCTGGAGAGGAGTGCAGGCAATCTATTTTCTAAGGCATTCTCCCCAAGTGGAAGATGATCTACATTCTTGGTTAATGATCAGAAAGAATTCGATGGAGGCTTAATCAAAGTGGGGATGCAGCAAATGGACAGAGTTGTCGCTGTCATCAGCAACACAAACCTTAAACCCAACTCACTGCCACCGAGTGGATTCTGATTACAGTGACCCTTTAAAGGGAGGTGGAACTGCCCTTTGTGGATTTCTTAGACTATCACTCTTTACAAGATTGGAAACCTTGTCTTTCTCCCCACGAGTGACTTGTAATTCTGAACCGCTGACCTTGCAGTTAGCAGTCCAATCTGTAACCACTATGCTACCAGCTTTTGCAAATTGGAGTGCTCACAATTTAAGCTCTAATACAATTATAAACGGTTATGTAACCAGTGAATTCTATAATTCAGGGAGATGCTCAAATTGCTCAGACCCTGACCAATGGGACAGCCTGGGTCCTCTTACACTGGTGCTTTCCTGGGTTCAGACCCCAGGAGGCCCAGATCCCTCCTGTTTCCCCTCCAGCTCCTCTGCTCAGCGTTGCCCCCAGGAATCCCAGAGATGCTCACCCTGCTTGGAGTCAGGTGAATGGATTTGATTCACAACCCACTCAGAAGTTGAAATCCTTCCTTGTGATGCTTCAATGTGCAACAGTAGTACCAGATTTCTAGTTCCCTAGACTGGATGCATTTCTCTGTGGCAAATCTTTGTTCTGAAACAGAAGAGGAGGCAATGTTGAAAAAGGCCTATCAGGTTCTTGGCCTGTACTTCTTGCGCTAAATAGTGACCACCCCCACCACTTGGGATCAAAATCATGCTCCAAGCTGAGGGGGTTTGCACTAAACAAGAGCCCACTCTAGGTTTACAGGGCAATTTTACTAATTTCTCCAATATCATTATTAACTTTGGATCCGCATCCTATATGTACAATATTTACTTTTAGAACAAAGTGGAAGTGTGTAAGATCTCAAAATTATCAAGCTCCATTGTAGCTAAATATCTCCTTTCACCAGCAATCTAACTGAAGAAAGGAATACTTTATGAAGAACATGCTTTACTAACTTGTACTGCACCTCAGACCCCAACCCTTGACATATTTGGCTAAAGTGATCAAGCTGAATCATGCTCATATAAGCCACTCCAATCCATGCTGAGCTTTTCATCAAGTTTAACCTGCCCCAATCCCCTTGCATCCTGTGTGTTCTTTGCAATATCTATTGTGTGTGAAGAAATGCCGATGGTTGGGTAGCCCATTCATGCACAATAGTGTGGTAACTAGAGAAACTTGCTGTAGAAGTGGACAACAAGAGATAGAGGGACCCCAACAGGACAACCTAGAGGTGCCTTGGCCAACACAGAGATATCCTAAACAAGAAAATAAGCCAGGGGAATCCTTATTTGCTACTCTTTTAAGCTCTTGTGTTTACGGATGTCCAATTTTAAAGCTTTGGGAAAGACTGCAGCCTACAGTCAAGGAATGGCAAGGGGTAGGTAGATGGGTCATGGCAAGAGCCAAGTTAAGGGAAGAAGCTTAAAAGCACAAGATGGATCCAGAAAAGAGATGACTGATCAACCATTTTGTCATCTTGGCCTAGATTCTAGATTCCAAGCTTTCTAGGTAATGCTGACTGATTGCAAACAACACACACTGTAGGAGTGGACTTATTGGCTTTGGGTCAAGGATGTCCCTTCCATAGTCTCAGGTGTGAGTGACTATTTGTCTCAGAGCAGTGCAAATCATTTATCAATCTACACTGAGGGGTCAGCTGCAAGACCAGAGGATCCAGCCAGAGCAAGTGATCTATGAGAGTTGAGTGGGTTTCAGAAGGTTCAGAAGGTCTATAATCAACTGAATCACAATTAAATTCCATGAGAAACTTCAAGGCTAACTGTAAGACAGATTAAAGATTCTGGCAGCTAGACACCAGAGTATTCACACAGTATGAATAAACACTTTATGGTTTTTGTCTAAGTTCATGTTATTGGGTGAAACATAACAATGATTGTGAGAGTACACTTACTAACATTTTCTATGAGACCAGTAATAACCTGTTAACAAGTTCAGATAATGATATTTCAAGAAAACTGTAGACCCCAGGGAGAAGGGTGGGTTGGAAAGAGGGAACGGATTACAAGGATCTGCATATAACCTCCTCCCTGGGGGATGGACAATAGAAAAGTAGGTGAAGGGAGACATCAGACAGTGCAAGATATCACAAAATAATAATTTATAAATTATCAAGGGTTCATGAGGGAGTGGGGAGTGAGGGGAAAAAATGAGAAGCTGATGCCAGGGCTTTAGGTGGAGAGCAAATGCTTTGACAATGATGAGGGCTATGATTGTACAAATGCTCTTTACACAATTGATGTATGTATGGATTGTGAGCCCCTATTAAAACGACTTTTAAAAAATAGTAAGAAAAAGATAGAAAAGATGCTGAAAGTTGATGAGGACTAAGTAAAGGAAGCTGGTGCTACCGAAGAGGGAGGAGCTCAGAAAAGGTTCCTCGGAAGCAGGTAGCCAAAGAATAGGTAAAAGGATTCGTAATGGTAATAAAAGAGAGTTCTTTCTTATTAAGGGAGAAAAAAGGCGGGTGGAAGGTAGAGAGACGAGATTATGAGAGCTGGTACATTTGATGGCAAAGAAGTAATTTTTACACAATAGCTTTTATTTCTAAATAAAGAGCTTAAACATATACATATAAAAAAAGAAAAAAACTGTAGACCAATATTGATAATGGATCTACATAAAAAAGTTCTTGAAAATATTGGGAAGTGAGTCAGAAAACACATTAAAATAATTTACATATGATGATTACTTGGAATCTATCCTAGAGTTGATTTAACATAAGAAAATAAGCACTGTAATATACCAATTAATGTAAAAAAAGAATAATCTAAATAGACACATAAAACATACTAAACAAAGTCAAAGGTTTTTAACACTAAGAAAAAAAAACCACTACAAATCTAACATAAAACAGATACAGTTCAATATGTTAATATGCTAATATGTATTCCTAAAAAGAAAAAGTCAAAATGCCATACTTGAGAAAACATCACCCTATATCAGAAAAAGGACAAACATAAATGTCCACTTTTATCAGTGATATTAAAAATTGAGTGTATGTTCTAACTAGAGCAATTAGGTTAACATTTTTTTTAAGGAAGAGGCTTCCAAAAGAAATAAAAATTCCTCTAATCATAATTTCATTATCATATCCATTAAATATTCATGATATTCCAAAAATAGCTAATAAATATTAAAACGTTGTAGGCTACATTTCAACCCGCTGAAATAACTTTTGGTACTTAACTAACTATTAATTGCTAATCAAGAGGGTTAGGGGAAGGTGGAGGGAGAAAGAGGGAACCTATCACAATGATCAACATTATAACAATGATAACCCCCTCCCAGGGGGATGGACAACAGAAAAGTGGGTGAAGCAAGACATTGGTCAATGTAAGACATGAAAAAAACAATAATTTACAAATTTTCAAGGGTTCATGAGGGAGGGAGGGAATAAAAATGAGAAGCTGATACCAAGGGCTCAAGTAGAAAGAAAATGTTTCGAGAATGATGATGCCAACAAATGTAGAAATGTGCTTCACACAATGGATGGATGTGTGGGTTGTGATAAGAGTTGTGCAAGTTCCCAATAAAATGATCTAATAAAAAAAGAAAAAGAAAATACAGCATGATCAAAATTACAGCATTTATCTTACAGAAAAGGAAGTGCAAAATTATTCAGATTAAAACCCTGAAACAGGGAATTTGTGTCCACACATTCTGTGAAGAAAGTCACGGATTTAGAATCCTGCAGTTTTCTGTAGTGTTGAAGGTCCTCATATACTGATGAATTAATGAACTAAAACAAGGAATTTCTGTGCACATATTAGACAATATAGTTACATATATAGACACATATATAAATGATACACACACATATATTAAGTTGGACAGCAGAAAGGATTGATGTTCACCCAAAAACTGAAGTTTGGGGACTTGAACACACTCAAGCTAGCATTGGACCCATGGGTTTCAGTTAGACTGGGCTGGGATGTTGTCTTGATAAAAAGCTCTTTCTTATGCATATGTCAGTGTCTATACTTTTATTTTTCTAGACAACCCAGCCTAAGGCAGGTCCCCTGATTAGTGTCATCATACACAGAAAAAGTGTATCTGATATGCTGCTCTTGGAGAAAGGCACATCACAAGGAAAGTGTGAGAAGATAATCAACAATTCCCTGACACCCACCCAATCTTATGCTCCTCTAGGTGTGTGGATTTTGGGTGGGTGAAAATCTATTTATAATAAAAGTATTTGAGGGGCCAGCCCCAATCCCAACTAAGAGGACAGCTGCTCCTCCCCCCAGAAGAATTTAATTCAGAGGACAACACTGAAGCTACAGCTCAGAGAAAGGGGCATGTTTGATTAGAGCACATGGGTGAAAATGAAGGGGAAGGAAGAGAGAGTGGAGAACATCCTGGCCCACCAAGCCTTGAGGACAATATCCCCGCTCAGAGCAGCCAACGCAAAGAGAAGACCGTTGGCTGGCCCCACTATGAAACATGACCCATAGCCCTACAGGCGACAACACTGGAGAAACAGTGAGGGAATTGCATTAGATCTGACCCAACCACACCCAGGCAAAACACTAAGGGTGTGTAGCAGATCAGCAAGGGGAGCAGAGAAAGGAAGTCCCAAGGGAGTACCAAAAATAGACTTTGGGGCCATGGCTTGGCACCCCATCAGACTTGACAGGAAAACACTCCTAAAGGTAAACAAACAGACCTTGAACTTTTTACAGGCTTTTCTTTACTTGTCATTGGTTTTTTTGGTTGCTTTTTATTGTTTTCTTTTGTCGCTTTGTTTTGCTGTGTGTGTGTGCACATATTATCTCTGCATGTCTATGTAGATAAGAAAGGCTGGATAAACAATACGGAGGAGAAAACAACAGGACCCAAGGTTGCAGGTGGCGTGGGGAAGGGGTGGGGGGGAAAGTGGGACATGGGAGAAGGGGAGGTGGGTGAAAGGAAGTGGTGTTAACCAACTCAGGGGCAAGGGAACAATAAGTGGTCCAAAACTGTGGGAAACAGAAACATTTCTCCCAAGTCGTCTCCCCCAAATATATGCTAGACTTAGGGACACACAATTAATGGTAAATGATTGTCAAGTTACCTCCCTGGAAGGCAGTCAGTTGCCAGACTACTGTCTGGTCCCACAACAAATAGGGCCCACTCCCTGCTGTTAAGGACAATGGGCTTCTCCCTGAAGGCTTCAGTTTGGTCCCTCCAGGGTGGGTTTACACCCTACTGACAATGGTTTCTATAGTGAGCCAGAGAATAGGTCAAACCTGCTCAGTGACATCCAAAGTTGGGCCACCATCATGAATCTCAGGCCTGCCCATCTTGTCACATGTATACCCTTACTCCCTCTTCTAATAGCATATGAACCCCTAGATAAGCCCCCTCCCATTACTGTATTACCTATAGCACACTTTCCTGTGACATATGCCTTCACCTGTAATTAGGGGGGCTTGCACATCCCCAGAGAATACGAAAGCCTTGGTTACCAATAAATATCTCTCTCCCATGTGGACCACCAAGTACGGCTGAGGTGAGCACACTACCATGAAATTTGTCTGACTCCATTATTTCAATCTCTCTT